AACCTGCTGAGTAGCACTCGCAAACCTCCCTGCGAGGATATTGGTTCCTCTCCAGTTTAGGTGCAACCTGTCACTCTTGTAGAGGTCACCCCTGCCCCAGAATAGGTCCCAATGATCCAAGAGCCTGAAACTCTGCCCCTTGCACCAGCTCCTTAGCCACGCATTCATCTCTCCTACTTTTCTATTCCTTGCCTCACTAGTACATGGCACTAGTAGTGACCCAGAGGTTACTACTCTTGAGGTCCTGCTTTTCTGCCTCTTTTATAACTCCCTTTCTACCTATGTCATTGGTACTAATGTGTACAACGACCTCTGGCTGCCCAACCTCCCCCTTAAGAATTTTGTGCAACCGCTCAGGGACGTCCATGGCCCTGGCACCAGGGAGGCAACACACCATCCTGGAATCTTGAACTTGGTCATGGAAATACATGTCAGTGCCCCTAATTCGTGAGTCTCCCACCCCTATCGCTCACTTGGATCCTGCCTGACCCTGCTCTACAGCTGATCCAGTTGTGGTGCCACAGGCCTGGCTGCTCGTTATACAACAATATCCAAAACGGCGTACCTGTTAGAGAGGGGAATGGCCACAGGAGACTCCTGTACTATCTGCCTGCCTCTCCTGGTGGTCACCCATTTACCTGACTGAACTTGTGGTGTGACCAGCTCCCTGTAACTAGTGTCTATCATGCTCTCTGCCCCCGTGTGCTTGTCAGTGTGTCTGACTATCACTCCAACCAAACAATGTGGTCTATGACGAGCTGTAGCCAGTCACACTTCCTGTAAACATAATCGTCAGGGACACTAGATCTCCCACATCTGGCAGGAGGAGCACACCACTGTCCTAACTGACATCTTTGCCCCTTTACACTAAGAAAGATGAAAGAATCTTACTGAAGCCCAATATTCACCTAAGCCTGCACTTATACCAACTAGCAGCACTAACTGGTTACCTAAATGACAATGCAATCTTTACAAGTAGGCCAAATATCCTTTAGGCAACAATAAACTTCCCAACAGCCTGTCTCAAATTCTCGAGCCTTTTTTTTTGGTTAGAGGAGGAGGGAAGGATAGAAATACTTCAGTGATGTAATGTTTGGAGCTTACCATTCCTTGACACCAGGTTCTTCCTCATACCGCTGATCAGTCACAGTGACCGAGCTGATTTCTTCCAGAAAGCTCCTCAGTGAAGTCACTCTGCTGCTCTTTATTGGATCTAAGTTCTGAACCTAGGTTCTTTATACCTAAGACAGCACTAAGTGGGGCGACATTGAAAACTTTTCATTGTACTCCTGACATGTGTATACGTGACAACGAGGATATTCTAAAATTCTTGATGCTATTGTGTCTGCTTCCGCTACCTCCTCTGGCAGCATGTTCCAGGCACTCACCACCCTTTGTGTGAAAAACGTGCCTCACACATCATTTTTAAACTCCTGCTCCCCCCAGTCCCATCTTGAACCTATGTCCCCTAGTCATTGGTCCCTCCACAGTGGGAAAAAGCTTAATTATTTCCACTCTATCCATGCCATTCACAATCTTATAAACTTCTAACAGGTCACCCCCTCAACCTCCTTCGTTACAATGAAAACAAACCCAGTCTATCCAACTTTTCTTCATAGCTAAAATCTCCCTTTCCAGGCAACATCCTGATAAACCTTTTTCCATACCATCTCCAAAGCATCCACATCCTTCTGGTACTGTGGTAACCCGAACTGGACGTAATATTTCAAGTGTGACTTAACTAAAGTTCTATAAAGCTGCAGCATAACTTGTCTATCCTTATACTCAATGCCTCTTCCAATGAAGGTAAGCATGCCACAGGCCTTTTTACTTTCTTATCTACCTGTGTTGCCACCTTCAGTGATCTGTGGACCTGCACATCCAGATCTCTCTGCATATCAATATTCCTAAGGGTTCTGCCATTCACTGTATAATTTTCACCCGTATTTGACCTTCCAAAATGCATCACCTCACAGTTATCCAGGTTAAACTCCATCTGCAAGTTTTCTGTCCATGCCTCCAACTGATCTATATCCTGACGTATCCTCTGACAATCCTCCTAACTATCCACTACACCACCAATGTTTGTATCTTCTGCAAACTTACAAAGTAGACCAGCTATGTTTTCCTTCAAATCATTTATGTAGATCACAAACAGCAGAGGTCCCAGCACTGATCCCTGCAGAACACCATTAGTCACAATCCTCCATTCCGAAAAGCATCCATCCACCTCTACCTTCTGTTCTGAAGGAGTTTTGAAGGAGGGTCACTAGACTTGAAACGTTAACTTTGCTTTTTCTCCACAGATGCTGCCAGGCCAGTTGAGATTCTCTAGCAATTTCTGTTTCTTGACCAGCATTGTTTTATATACTTATAATAACTGTGGACAATATTTACTACTCTTTGATTGTTACAAAGCGACCAACTATTATGTCAAATCAAACTGAAGGACAAGAACGGAGAAATGCTACATCTCCTGCTTTGTTGGTGGGATATGGAAGGTTGGGACTTACAGATATGTTATTTTTCTCTCAGCTGATCTCAATCTAATTCTTAGGGGTCATTAAGTAACAGCAGCCCACACTAGAAATGGTAACTCTGAGGTACCTGTCTACAGACCTGTTGAGTTTTCAGAATGCCACCTTTAAGAGTGAGCACAGGGTAATGGTGGTAAAAATTTGAAGGAGATAATTTTGAATTTTTACTGCTCCTTATCTGGTCAGTCTGATAATTCAAAACCCAGAAGAATTGCCAGCTAACTGGTTGCCTAGATTCTTCAATGTAGTGGGCAGGAACTTCCCTTGATCTGTGGGACTACGCATCAGGTGAAATGGGAGACATAGAGATGTACAGCATGTAAACAGACCCTTCAGTCCAACTCATCCATGCTGACCAGATATCCAAAATTAATCTAGTCCCATTTGCCAGAATTTGGCCCATATCCCTCTAAACCCTTCCTATTTGTGTACCCATCCAGATGCCTTTTAAATGTTGTAATTGTACCAGCCTCCACCACTTCCTCTGGCAGCTCAATCCATACATGCACCACCCTCTGTGTGAAAAAGTTGCCCCTTAGGTCCCTTTTAAATTTTTCTATCCTCACCTTAGATCTATGCCCTCTGGTTTTGGAGTCCCCTATTCTGGGAAAAAGACCTTGGCTATTCACCCTATCCTCATGACTATATAAACTTCTATAAGGTCATCCATCAGTCTCCAATGCTCCAGGGAAATTAGCCCCAGCCTTTCAGCCTCTCCCTGTAGCTCAAACCCTCCAATTCTGGAAACATTCTTGTAAATCTTTCTGAACATTTTCAAATTTCACAAACTGCTTCCTATATCAGAGAGACCAGAAGTGAACGCAGTATTCCAAAAGTAGTCTAACCAATGTCCTGTACAGCGCAACATGACATCCCAATTCCTATACTCAATGCATTGACCAATAAAACCAACTGTATCAAATACCTTCTTCACCACTCTCTCCACCTGTGACTCCACCTTCAAGGAACAATGAACTTCCATTCTAATGTCTCTTTGTTCGGCAACACTCCCAAAGTCCCTACCATTTATTGCATAAGTCCTGCCCTGATTTGTCCAACCAAAATGCAACACCTCACATTTATCTAAATTAAACTCCATCTGCCACTCCTAGGCCCATCAGCCCATCAGCCCATCTGATCAAAGTCCCATTGCACTCTGAATAATCTTCATCACTATCTACTACGCCACCAATTTTAGTGTCATTTGCAAACTTACTAACCATTGCTCCTTTGTTCACACCTCTGTTTGGAGCCTTAACCATTCAAATTGATAGACTATCTCCATAGAGTAGATATGGGGTTTAGTTAGCTCAGTTGGCTCGAAAACTGCCTTGCGAAGCAGAGCGACATGAACAGCGTGGACTCAATTCCTCCACTGGCTGAGTTTACCATGAAGGACACTCCTTCTGAACCCCTCCCCTTGCCTGAAGTGTGGTGACCCTCAGGTTAAACTATCACCAGTTGTCTGTTTCTAAAGAGAAAGCAGCCCTATGATCCAGTAGGACTATGGTGGCTTACTTTATTCAGTTATTAGGCAATTCACTTCCAACTGCTTCTGATAGCAGGAATGCATTCAGGAAATGTTCTGATGTAGCTCCCCATAATTTCCTGTTACCTCCCCCCTCTCCATTTCCACTTCCTTGAGGCTGGGGGAGGGAAAATTCAACCCAGTATATTCAAGACATGGTAGTCTTAACATTTTTGCTACTCCCTACTGTGATTAAGATGTGATCTAAGTTCATCAACACTCAATAAAGCTTTATTTTTGTAGTAACAGCTTAAACCTCACTCAGGTCAAAGTGTTACCAGTGGAGAATTTGATGCACATGTGTGATTTGAGAGTAGACAGCCTTGGGTTTCAGACATCTGGTCATGAATTTGGGAATGGATGGCCGTGAAACAGAACAGCAGAATATTCTTCCTTTGGCTCAATATTTTCTATGTGTTGCCTTCATATTTCTTATGCCTTCCTTGGTCTGCAGTTTCACTCACTAAAATTTACAGACTGTAATGATTGTCAGCATTGATGTATTCAGTTCCACGTGTCATTTGATTAATTTCCGCCTACATGATAAACAAGAATGGACTGCACAACTTGGAGAGGAGGAATGCATAGAAAATATCATTACCTTCACATTGTAGCCTATGATATGCAATGTTCATGATTAAGTTACCATTTAGTGATAGGGATTTAATCTTTCAGTGAGAGTTGATGTCAGACAATTCTGAATCATCTTGCAAACCGCAATTGTAATTAGTGGCAAAATGAATAGGTTATTCTCAAAAGATATTGTTATTCACTCGACATTCTAATTGAATACATTACAAAAAAGATATTTATTTGATGGGTAGTCACATACATATGCATTAAGATGTACTATGTTCAATTAGCATTTTCGGGCCATGACTTGGAAAACTAATTGCTTTGTTTTAATTACATATTAAACCTTAAAGTTTCCTGACCCTGAAGCGATTGATAAGATCATATCGGGTGAACAACTCATGCACCATGAACTTCAGAGCATGGTCCCCACTGGCTTCATTGAGGGCGAATACATTAAATGACCATTTATCAACATTCTGCAGAAAGAAAAGAAACACCAAATTTAGACATAATGTTCAAGTAATCTTGTATTGTCAGAGTTTTTAGAACTGTTGCGTTACACACCTTTAAAGCAGATATCACTGCTGCTGGATAAGTCAGTCCAGTCATGTTTGATGTTCTTCGGTACATCCTTGAAATCAAAATAATAAGTATATATTTGACAACAGGTTTCAGTAGCATGACCCTGAAATAAAACTCACATTTTGCTATACTTTTCTATTTATTCCGCCACCCCCAAAACAACAAAAAGCTCTGATGGCCATTTTTTTGTTTGTAATGTAATTTGTTTTATATTCATTTGTGACTGGGCTACTATTTATTGCCCTTCCCTAGTTGACCTTGAGAAAGTCGTAGTGAGCTGTCTTCTTATACTGCTACGGCCCATGTGGCATATGTAGATCCACAATGCCTTTAGGATGTTGACCCAGCAACAGTGGGTATATGGCGATATATTTCCAAGTCAGCATGGTGAGTGGCTCAGACGGGAACTTGCAGGTGGTGGGGTTCTCATCTATCTGCTGCATTTGTCCTTCTGGATGCTAGGGGACGTGGGTTTGGAAGGTTCTGGCTAAGGTGCCTTAATGAATTTCTGCGGAGCATCTTGTAGATCATACAGTGCTGCTACTGACCATCGGCAGTGAAGAGAATGAATGTTTATGGATGTGGTGCCAATCATGTGGGCTGCTGAGATTTGGAAGCTGCTGTTCAAGCAGCTTACAATTATTTTGAAAAGAAAAGCTGATAAGGAAGTCGACCACACTGCGGTTAGGATTTGCTTTTACCTCTTTCAGCTCTGGGGAATATGATTTAGGTTTTTAAACATTTGACTATTTCCAGCAGTAATTTTAAAATGCTTGAAAGAATATTCACGGAAGACTTAGGCCCTGATGAATTCTGCTGGTGATCAGAACTTGTATCAATTCCACAGTGAATTGGTTATTTTATTTCTAATGCGATAAACCAGATAATCTAAATAAAGTTTATTTTTTCAGTCTGTCTCGAGACTTGAATAAACATTTACTCCATTACCAGTATTTAGAGTTAAGGTAAATGTTTCCAAGATTTTTCTGTGCATCAGTGCTTCGCCTACATGACATCTAGTTTGTTCTGAATAAGGAAAAATAATGTTGAAATGTAAATATTTGAATAAATAGAAAAGACTGAAAATACACAGTAGGCCATTCAACATCTACAAAGAGGGGAGACAAATCAATGTTTTGATAACATCAATTTAAATTTATGTCATGCCACTCATAAAATAAAACATGCCAACATAATTCAGGTGTCATTTACAGACATTTTTTTCATCTTTATTGAAAATCCTTCAACCCTTTCTGTAATGAAGGTAAATCATTGTAGCCGAATATAACCAGGCTACATGCACTGGCACTGTCTAGGACTGATCTTCCAATCTATGCCCTACCCTGCAGGTTTTACTCCTTGTCAACAGCTTCTGATCATACTTTGATGCTTAATATTATATTAGAAGTCAAATCTTCCTGTGATTTGAAAAACTGAAAAATATAGGCTGGAAATTTTGGTTCAGACAATCAGAGATCAACATTGTTGGTTCTATCTTAAATATACAACGAGAGATAAAGTCTCTACAGTTCTACTGGATCATAGGGAGCTCTCTCATGAGAGAGAGATGATTGGTGATGGTTTAACCTGAGGGTCACCACACCTTGGGCAAGGTGAGTGGTTGAGAAGAATAGCCCTTTGTGGTAACCTCTGCCAGTGTAGGAACTGAATCCACAGTATTGGCGTCACTCTGCATTGGAAACCAGCCATCCAGCCAACTGAGCGAAGTGACCCCAGAGGGATACCAGTTAAAAAATTAGAACAGAAAGGTGCAGGATAAAATTGTTTCCATTGATATAAGAATGTAAAAGTAGTAAAATGCCTGAGATTAAAAAAGAAGAAAAGGACAAATTGGAAAAAGATAAGCATATAGGGCAAGCAGAATTGAAGGTGTTGAAATTCTCGAGGGCTTATTCAAGATAGTGACTCCATTTCACATCAATTTGCTATTTGCACACATAGTGAAGCTGCATTGTGCATCCAAATGGCACTTTAGCAAAACAATCAACTATACCAGAGGCGGAGGGCCTCACACCTGTTAGGTTTTCTGTCTGGTTAAAAAAAAGTTTCAATTACCAATGAAGGCTCTAATGAAAGTATGCAGACATTTTAGCGATGTCAATGGATCTCAGCTAACCTGCCTCCTGTTGTTTGGCAAAATGGGCATAATGACTAAATTTCCAATGAAAGGTGGGGAAATCTGGTACACCTGCATTGTAAGGCTTGGCTTTGGGGCCAGGCCTCCATTATTTGTTCAAGTGGTTGTATATAAGGGAAATATCGCTTGATTGGCAGCTTCTTCTTAAATTTATTATGTGAATGGCCTAATGTTTATATTCACAAAATAAAGAGGTAGCACATGCCTTTAGTTTCTGCTATTGACACTTTAAAGGTATAGTTGATTTAAACTTTTGTAAGGTTTTGGTAAAAGTATTAAGGAAAGTTATAAAGGCTCTTTTTTAAGCTTTTCTACATAAGCTATTGTCACTATAGAATTAATTTGCTCTGTTACGACTACCTGCTGTGTGAATGGGCATGGAAGTATAAGTTGAAATGGAGGATGTGAGGGGCCACTGGGGATGGGTGGATTAGTAATGGGGTGATATGGGGGCCTGTTAAAGACCTTCTGAAGGTATCTTTCAATAGATTCCCTCATCCAGACTATGGTTGTTGACACCATTGAAGGTGGGTTCACCTAATGGTACCATAAAGCTACTATTGATTTTCAATATAATCCATCTGCTTCATACATTCTTTCAGGAAGGAAATCTGCCATCCTTACCTGCTCTGGCTGACATACAACTCCCAATCCACAGCAATGTAGCTGACTCTTAATTGGAATGGCCAAGAAAGCCATAAGAGATGGACAACAAATGCTGGCCTTGCCAGGAACACCCACATCTGATGAAAGACTAAAACAGTCTATGCATCCAGGACTGCACATGAATAATTACAAGTGAGTAATCTAATAGATGGTGGTGTTTGGAATAATATTTTATTATGTAATAACAGTTACTGGTGCCCAAAATGTGCTGCATGAGATGACACATAAATGCTGTTTAAATAGTAATTCTACAAGCTTACACCTCCTCAGCAGGCAACTGTGCTTAACCAACAATAACAACTTGCATTGATATGGCACCTTTAACATAATAAGCCATCCCCAAGGTGCTCCACAGCTCTGTTATATGTCAACATCTGACACCAAATCACACACTGAGGGAGGACAAATGTCAACATTTTGGTCAAGACTCAAACTTTAGGAAGCAACTTAAAGGAGCAAAGGGGGTAGAGAGTTGTAGAGTTTTAGAACAATAGAACATAAGAAGTAGAAACAGGAATCGGAAACACATCTCCGAAAGCCTGCTCCAACATTCTATAAGATCTGCCCAGGCCTCAACTCCTCTTTCATATCAGCTCCTCACAAGCCTCAACTCCTCCATATTGCAAAAATCTATCTACCTCCTAGTCTGCATAACTCCTGCGGTAGAGAATTCCAAAGATTCACTACCCTGTGGGACTAGATTTATCTAGGATATCTAGTCAGTATGGACAAGTTGGACCGAAGGGTCTGTTTCTGTGCTGAGAGATAGTAAGAACTGCCAATGCTGGAGTCAGAGATAACACAGTGTGGAGCTGGAGCAACACAGCAGGCCAGGCAGCATCAGAGGAGCAGGAAATCTGACATTTCGGGTTGGGACCCTTCTTCAGAAATTCAGAAGAAGGCTCCCGACCCAAAACGTCAACTTTCTTGCTCCTCTGATGCTGCCTAGCCTGCTGTGTTCCTCCAGTTCCACACTGTGTTATCTCTGTTTCCGTGCTGTACATCTTTATGACTGTATGGTCCTGAAAGAAGAAATTCTTCTGCATATCAGTTGAAAATGAATATGCCCTTATTCTGTAACTATGCTCTCTCGTTCGAGATTCCCCCAAGAGTGGTCAGAAATGGTCAGAAGTCAGGGGTTAAAAAGGACATCAAATTCAGTATCAGACAGTTGTCTCTCTGAGGGAGAGATGGACTCAATGTCTTGAAAGCAGCGTTTGTAGTTGGCACTTAAGGCAATGCCGTCTTAATGGTCAGTCGTTGCAATATTTAATTGGAGGAAATTTCTGCTGATCAAACACTGGATGTCAGAAAAACAATCTGATAATTTAGAGGTGGTGGATGGATTGAGAGAAGTGGTGGTGGAGTGAAGTTTGGTGCTGTCATTGTTCCTGTAAAAACTAATGTTGTAGTTTCAGATTAATGTTGTAGTTTCCTGGGCAACAAGCAGACAAGAAGCAGGAAGGGCCGAGGGTAGGTCCTTTGGAGACACCAGAAGTCACCATATGGATAACAAGACATCAAAGGTTGAAATTCTGATCTGAGTAGGATAATAGGTCGGCACAACATTGTGGGCCAAAGGGCCTGTACTGTGCTGTACTGTTCTATGTTCTATGGTCTATGTTCTAAAGGTGATTGTCTGCCTATGATTTGATGGATAAAAATGAAAAGAGGCAAGAATGGTTACATGCAGCTGGTGGAGCGACATTGGAAGAGGATAGTGTGGCCGAAAGTGTCAAAGACTGTGGTCAGGTTGAGAATTCCGGAGGCTTTGAATAGCTTACTTTTCTCACAGTTACAGAGAGTAAAACAGAGATAGGGCTCTAAAAATGCAGACCCAGTTCTCTGGCTGCCGCTCTGTGACATTATGGAAATAGCCCTTTACAATCCTATTGATAATGCTCATGTATATATTTGGCACACATAATTAATGGTGTAGTTATTCAGACAGAATTGATTTTTCTTATGACCTCAAACCTGCACTTTTTAATAGATGAAAAGCACTGAGCATTTCAGAGTAAATGAAAATTGTTCAAAAATAATTTTAAAAACAGCAACATTAAATTTTACCTTTCAGTTTTTGCAAATTACAAATATTAATCAAAAGGAATATCACAACACTGCAAATGCACTTTCATCTACCTCTCAACAAAAATGCCAGCTTGAACAGCATGAACAATGCTGCGAAATCTGGGCTTTTCTGCTGGCCTTTTCCTCATCACCCCCATCTTCCTTGTGAAGGTGGATGCCAACCAGTCTCGGACCTCCGATGGAACGGAATCTGATTGGATATCGCCGAGTTCGTCCTCAGTGTCCAAGAGCCGTCTGATGAGAAAAAAATTATAAAGCGTCAACGCAAATTTACTCCCTCCTAAAGAAATATTAATCCAAAGTAGATGCCTTTGGACCTTTCCCTCTGCATGGTTTATCATGTTTTTAATAAATTGCGCACAAGCTCTGAATTCATCATTTTATGAAAAATAAACCCCAGTCCATTTCTTGCTCAGTATGCTTCACAACTATTCAGTTCAATATTTTATCATTATTTCAGTGCGCTCATCGCAAATTGGTGATTCACTTCATTGTACTCAATCACTACCAATGGGCACAAATACCTCAAAGATCCAACATCGCCGAATTGCATTTCTTACTTTTCTTATTTCCTTGTCTCCAATGTTAATATCATCAATAACCTTGGAAGATTTAAAATTTGACACCCCCATCATATTTATCCTGTTTTTAAGCCACTTTAATGGAGAGCACTTCCATGATCTCTGCTAGTAATCTCCAATATTGGAATCTGCCAAAAGATACCATAAAAGCTAAGGACGGAATTTAATGGGGCCTCAAGAGTAGATCGGTAAGTGGTAACTGCTGGAGAAGTGGAATGGAATCTCTCAGTGGAGAAGAAGGTGCAGCATTGCCTTCTCGACAAGAGGTCAATTGAAGTCTTTAAGTAGTTCATAAAGGGCTATCTATAGCCCTCTGCCTGCCTCCATTGGCATTTTGCTAGCAGCAGTGGTGGGAAGGGGGCATCCATCATGTGTAAAGACCGCTTACTTAAACTTGGTGATTTCCATGCGGTTATAAGGAAGGTCTCATTTGATCGGGCACCCTCTGGGCCATAAACCCTGGTGGCAAGGGCAGCCCACATAGAAAAAACCTCCAATGCCCTCACCAGACCCTGTCCACCAGGCGCTGCCACCTGGCTCTGCAACCTGCTTTCCACTGACCTTGGTCTGAAGGTAGTGTCTGAATTATATGAGGTTAGGTCTCACTGTGTGAAATGCTGATGAGATGCTATGTTTTATATATGACCACTGAAAGCAATGCAATTTAACATGATCTTGCTCCTTCTTGCAGCCTCAGGGCAAGATGAAGCCACAACAAAATGCTTTCTTTCAATAAAATAGAAGCAATGTTTTCCTTACCTCAGTAGAATCCGTAAATATCCTTTAGAATTATAATGAGACAAAGAATATTATAGACAGGAAGTGAACAGAAGAAAAATATGAAAAACTCTCTACAGTCCCCAGAAAGCTTTGAGCAAGTTACAGGCCACAATCAAACTGAAGCATAGCTGAACTGATCAGGTATCGTACTGCATTCAGATTCACAGTGAAGCCAACAGTTCAGTGCGCTGTTCTATTCAATGCATATCTGTTTAGCCAGTATCCTAGTCAGGCACAGGATCGACAAAGAAAAAGTTATGTACGAGCAACTGGTATGCCACTCAGGTCTACATCAATCTGCACAAAAATACCTTTACCTAATGGGCTAAATTTAACAGTGTACTCAGTGACGTGGGGAAAGTATTGATACTTTTATCAATGATCTGTACAGACTTACGAACATACAAACAGGAAACAAGAGAAGGTCATTGAGGCCTTCAATCCTACTCTGCTATTCAATAAGATCATTGCTGATCTGATTTTAATCTGAACTCTACAATCCCGTATATCCCAATAATCTTTCATCCCCTTGGAAATCAAGAATGTATCTATCTCTGCCTTAAAAATATTTAAAGATTCTGAATCCATTGAGTTTTGAGGAAGGGAATTTCAAAGACTGACCACACTCTGGGGGAAAAAAAATGTTTCAAATGGGCGACCTCTTATTTTTAAATATGACCCTTAGTTTCTAGATTCTCCCACAAGAGGAAACGTCCTTTCAACATCCACCCCACTAAATCCTATCATATTTTCAATTAAGTTACCTCTTCTCAACACCAGAAGAAGGCCTAGCCTGTCTAGCCTTTCCTTATAAGGTAATACATTCAATTCAGGTATTTGTTTAGTAAACCTTCTCTGAACTACTTCCTTACTTTTGCATTCAATTCCCCTCACAACAATGGCTTTCCTGGTTACTTGCTGTGCCTTCAATACTAACCTTCTATGACTCATGCACTAGGACACCTAGATCTCTCTGAATCTCAGAGCTCTGCAACTTCTCACCATCTGGATGCAATGCTTCCTTTTGATTCTTTCTGCCAAAATGGACAATTTTACATTCTCTCACACCATACTCCACCTGCCAAATCTTTGCCCAGTCACTTAACCAACGTACTTCACTTTTTAGGCTCCATATGTTCTCTTCACAAATCACTTTCCTACCTATCCTTGTACCATTAACACATTTAGGTGTTTAGAAGCATCTGGTTGAGTACGTGATGGGATTAGTGTACTTTGGTGTTTTTGGTCAGCATAGACATAGTGGGCCAAATGGCCTGTTTCTATGCTGTAAGACTCTATGACCTTAAATCCCTTCATCCACATCATTTATATAAATTGTAAAGAGTTTGAGGCCCCAGCACCGATTCCTGTGACACACCACTAGTGACATCTGCCAGCCTGGAAAAGACCCACTTATTTCTACTCTTTGCTTCCTATTAGCCAGCCAATCTTCTATCGAGGCCATATATTAACTCCTAGACCATGAGTTTTTATTCAGCAGTAAGCTCTGATGTGGCACCTTTTCAAATGCACTCTGGAAATCTAAACACCCACTAGTTCCTCTTTACCTACAGCCCAAGTTATTTCTTCAAAGAACTCCAATAAATTGGTTAAATATAACTTCCCTTTGATAAAACTATGTTGGCTCTGCCTGATTACCTTGAACTTATCCAAGTGCTCTATAATAATGTCTTTAGTAATAGCTTCTAACATTTTCTCTATAACCTATATTAAGCTGACCTGTAGTTGGAGATAGTAGGAACTGCAGATGCTGGAGAATCTGAGATAACAAGGTGTAGAGCTGGATGAACACAGCAGGCCAAGCAGCATCAGAGGAGCAGGAAGGCTGACATTTCAGGCCTAGACCCTTCTTCAGAAATCATTTCTA